ACTCTGTCCGATAGGATTGATATGAATAGGAATAGACTCGATGGCAACGGGTTGTGGGGGAGGTGGCAAGGGGAGTTGTCAGAATGCAGCTGTTATCTTACAGGCTGGCCCAGTAGTGTTGGAGTTGAAAGAGCTCCAAGTTCACAGTCAAGAGACCTGGACCCAGCGTCCAACTCTGACTGACTGATTGGCGAGCTTGAGCATGTTATGGAACTCAGTGTCCTTATCTGTGAAATAGTATCAATGCCCTCTGCCCTGCCTCCTTCCCAGGGGCTGTTCCTGGGGATCCAAAGGGATGATGGATGTGACAGTACAAAATACCATAAAAATGACACATAATATTATTTTTTTCATGTTGAATATGGCTCAGAGTGGCAAGTATGTTTTTCTTTATTGATACGTGAGCTATAATTAAAATTTTTAAATTAAGCTTGGGCATGAGTGTAGATAGTATTTATTTTGCCAGCAACATTCCTTACCATGTATGGCCAGCAAAGGTGTCATTCTTTGAGCTGATCAGATACAGATTAACAGGATCAATAAATCCAGCCACAAAGGGGATAATATTAAATAGCAGTGATAATTGTTGTTTTTAGTCTGTTTGGTGATTTTCTCAGAAAATTTTTAAAATACAGAAAAGTACAAGAAGATGCTAACAATTATTAATATTCCTACCAGCCATTATAATTATCTTGGAATACTATCTTCTGTTTTAAGAAAAAAAAGTCATAATATTAAATGCGTAATATAAACTTTAATGCAAAGATGAATGTATTTAAATCACCATAAAAGCCAACATTCAGAAATAACCAACATTAAGATAGGCATTCTAAATATGTTTCTGTGCTCATGTATGTAAGTGGATCCCATTGCCATCAAGTCAATTCCAACCCATAGTGACCCTATAGGACAGAGTAGAACTGCCCCATAGGGTTTCCAAGGAGCCGCTGGTGGATTCAAACTGCTGACCTTTTGGTTAGCAGTCGAGCTCTTAACCACTGTGCCACCAGGGCTCCATGTAATTGGATATGTTGCTGAATAGATGGATTGATGGCTAGATAGAGGTGAAATACTTTTGTAAAGACTGTATCATATTATAGATGCCATTTCAAACAAAAGTATTACATTTATACATGTCTTAAATTTAAGAGATGTAAAAGAAACCAAACGAAATAGGAGGGCTGGTTGAACATCAAATAAACTTTTTTCTTACAGAAAAGAACTTTTTTTAAAGGAGTCCTCTTTGTGTGTGTGTGTATATACATATATATGCATATAAAAAACCCGTTGCCATCGAGTTGATTCTGACTCATAGTGACCCTATAGGACAGAGTAAAACTGCCTTATAGGGTTTCCAACTAGCGACGGGCGGATTCGAACTGCCATAGCTCTTAACGTCTTAACCACTGCACCACTAGGACTTCATGTGTGTGTATGTGTGTATGTATATATGTATATTATATATGTATGTGTGTATATATATATAAACCCTGGTGGTGCAACCAGTTAAGTGCTCGGCTGTTAACCAAAGGTTGGCTGTTTGAACCCACCTAATGGTTCTGTGGGAGAAGGGCCCGGCAATCTGCTTCTATAAAAAATACAGCCAAGAAAACCCTATGGGGCAGTTCTACTCTGTCACGTAGGGTCACTACGAGTTGGAATCGACTCCACAGCACCTAACAATAATATACATACACACACACATAAAATGTAAAACATTAAGAGCTTCAAAACATGTTTTTAATTGTGTTTGTTTCAACTTAGGCAGTATATACTGACTTTGCTTTGAAGAGTAAGGCCGTTATTCCACTTCCCAATGTTTATAGTTATACTATCATTTTTACGTTTGTAATATTCCCCTTCTGTTCTATAATCATATTTTCATAGCAGTTTAGTTATTTCTTTTTAACTCCATATTTAAATGGATTCAAGGCTCACCCCCAGTTCTTTTACCACAACTTCTTTATCTGTGTTTGTCTTGATTCGACTCTTAATTGATTGGACTTCATGTTCAAGCAACTTTTTCAAGAGGGGCTGTATTTTCAGAGTTGTTTTGTGTTTAAGACTGTTTTCCTGTTGCCTCTATATTGGCAGAGCATCTTGGCAGGTGTACGGTC